ATACACATAATAGATAATTGAATGTAATAATTATTTAATATTACTTAATATTAAGTAAAGGATAAGTCATAGATCATTGTTACTTACAAAATTACTTTGCCCATATCTAGATCAGACAATAGGTTAGAACAAAATTCCGGGTGGGTTCCACAATCCTTCAATTTATCAGCATTGAAATTACTATAGTAGTATATGATATTTGCACTTTAACTTTTTTATATATAATGCAGCATAATAAATTCTAACTGCTTGTAATAAAATAAATTCGCGATAGTAGTTTAATTATAGAAATAAATGTTATATATGAGTTTAGTGCAGTAATAAATCAAAGTTAAACAAATTTTTGAGCACTTTACATAGACCAATTTTACCGCACCGTTTTTCACAAATTTTTATGAAGTGAAAAAAAACAAAAAAGCAAAAAATACACAAAATAAGTGTCTAAACTTGCCTTGGAGCACTAATAAAAAATGTCAGGAGAGTGATTTTATCTATAACTTTTACCCAACCCCTAACCCTAACTTTAACCTTAGCCTAATTTTAGTTGCTTCATTTTAATATACTTCCAAATAAGAAAATTGAAAAATGGTGTGATAAAATTGATCCTTTACTTTTGAGAGATCTCAACTCATTAAAAAAGGGGGATACAAGAATGAATACTTGAAAAAAAGATAAAGCAAAATAATAATTTCACATTTAATATAGGTATTTAAATTTAGCTAATTTATTCTCATAATTCGAACAGATCAGTTTTAGAAGTTTTATGTGTACTTTTTTAAATTAAAATGTTTTATGTATTTTTTTATAGTGCCTTGTAATGAGAATATAGTAAATATGTATTGTATAGTTTATAAAGAATGTATATATAGAAAACATTAATTAATTATTAAAATGATGTAATGTACGATTAATAAAACATGTACGTATGTATGATACATAATAAATTATTATAATTGCGCCAATAAAAAAAAATTACATTTCAAGCAGGCTTTTAAGTTTATAATTTATTGGACTAAGTTTATTTAATTCAGGAATTTTTGTATAATAAATTGTAAGTTTAAGAATCCGAAGTGTAATTTTCTTTTGACGACCCCAAAATATAGTTTTCTCTTTGCGATGATTAATTAATGATGCATAAAATATAGTCTGTATATATATGTATTGACAATAATTTGATATTTTTTCTTTACATTTTTTCTTTAATTAAAACCTTGTTCAATAGAATCAGATTTGGATTTGACTGTTGAAGAAAATTTTAATTTAAAAACTGGTATTACTAAAGAGTTTTCTGATTTGGATATCGACGAATATAGCGATGCATGGTTTAATGAAGATTCAAATTTGAATACTGTAATATTATTAAATTCATAAATCAAATATTAAATCGAACTTTGCCAAAAATACTTTAGCTTATAATTTATTTATTTTAGAGTGATACAAATGAAGACTTAGAAGAAGTAGCTTTTTTTACAAAAAAGTTATGCGCAAATCAAATTATTCATAGTGTGTTACCTGTAGAATACCAACTACCCCAGTAGTACTGACAGATTTTCACTGATCGACAATTTTTTTAAAGTAAAAAATGCTACATTAGGGTTAGGTTTACAATTATAACAAGGGTTGTTTTATACTAAAATTTGCAAGGAATTTTTTTTACTAATGTGCAGAAAGTGGTTATATAGACAAAATTTTTGAGTTATAGCAGTTTTTTTAAAAAACGTGATTATTTGTTTTGATTTCATATTACACCTGATCTTGTAATCTAATTGGTCAATCACTGTTGATCAGTGAAAATTTGTCGGTGCCACTGGGGTACTTGTAGAATACCCCACAACATCTGAAGATAGTGTTGTGATGATCTTTAATGTTGATGGTTGGGATAACTATATGGATGCATTTAATAATGTAAATTTTTTTTAAATTACTTAATTTATATAATATACCTATATAGTAATAATTTTTAATCTTATTATTATTTAGGTTCAATATTCAATTAATGGTAGTGGTGGCACTACTATTATTCAGAATTGTCCTTTTTTTGGAAATATTTCTGTTAAAAAAGATAAACAAAGATGTCAAGGCATTAAATATTGTGAATTTAGTGATCCTACCTACCTTAATATTGTTCATAAGAGTGTTGATGTTGAGTCAGATTTTTATCGTAAGATAACTGCAGATTAGGAAGCAAATAATAAAAAAACAAAAACTTACACATAATTTATTTTTATTTTAATTATTTATTTAAACTATATATTTAATATAAAATTAATTTAATTATTTATTTATTTATTAAAAATATATTTAGCCGCAAGTGAATCTCAATGCAAGTTTCAACATAATGGTATTCTTTGCTCTGGATCAGCCAAACTTGAAAAAATTATTGACTACTTAACAAATACGATATCTTATTTTATTGGATGCACTGAATATAAACAAAATGATAAATAGCATTGTTTTATTAAACTTAATATAAATGAAATCAATTTGTCTTTATTAAAAAAGTTGTTTATGGGTAAATTAATTAAAGAAGAAGATCAATCAATTTGTACTTCAATTGTTTCATAAAGTTGCAAAAGAAAACAATGTGGTAAATTCTAAAATTTTATTTAATAATAGTAATTAAAATTATAAATTATTTTTATAATAATTAAAAATTATAAATAATAATTTGTAGAATTTCTTTATATTAAGGATGGTCAAATTACAAGAGAAAATATAATTGAAAAATTATGTTTAGTGCACTTTATTAAAATTATTCCTTTAGATATTTCAAGTTGCCCTTTTGTTGTACTCATATGTATTGATATTCATAACCATCCTCCACCACCACCAGAAAAAACACCAGCAAATATTAAAAATACATTACAAGCTTTAATTAAACGGGGCTATTAATGATAATGAAGCTTTAACAGCACATTCATTTATTACAGGTAATAGTTATTTAAATTATATATAATTTGTTAAATTTTAATTATATATATATAATTAATTAAATATTATTAAATTTTATTTAAAGAAAATTTTATTAAAGCCTCATTTAATACTGAAATACTTGGTCAAATTCATAGTTCACTTAATAATATTGATCGATTACGATATTTAGTAAATAAGACATATAAAAAAATATATCTATATGGGTAAGTATTATGGGTGTATAGTATACTTCGATGCAAAAAATAAATAATTTGCATAAATATATTCAAAAAATTGGTATATAAATATTTATTATTAAATATTATTATTATTATTATTATTATTATTATTATTAATTAATATTAAATTTGTTATTTAGAATTTTTTCATGATAGTCAAATTATAACCATTTGCATATTGCCAGAATTGGCTTATATATTACAAAATTTATTATTTTTTCAAATCGATGTGAGTTATAAAAGGGTCAAAGAATCAATTAATGAATTTGAATGTAATTCTTACAATAAAGATCATAAAATATGTTAAGTATATATTCAAATTATAAATTAATTATCTGATTTAAATAATTAATATAAATATTTAATTTATATTGTAGTTATATCTTATTGTCATATTTTTACTAATATATTTATGGCTGAAGGATATAAATGATTATTTCAAACTTTATTTCAAGTAATTAAAGAAATTACGAGTAAACATATTAAATTTTCTCATATTCATAATGAGGGTTGGGCATGTATTGTAGCAGATTTAGATCTTGCACAATTAAAAGGTTTGGGTATGGCTATTGAAGAAATTGATCATTCAAAAAGTTGGAATATACATTTTTTGTATATATTTAAGTCATGCTTAATTCATTATAATCAGTAAATAATCTAAACTTTAATTTATTAAATTTTTTGATTTATAATTTATTAATTTAAATTTATTTGTAGAAATATTTGAAATAAAAATTTTACTGCATATACAAAAAATTTAACGTATTTAATTCCTGACTGTGATAGTGAAGAATCCATAAATAATATTTTTGATTAATTGTTAGATTTGGATGAAAATAATATACAAGATATTTTATTAAATAATAATGATAATTTTTATTATTAATTTATTAATTTATATTAATTTATTTTAGAATGGGTGAATTACTATCGTATACTTTATATTATCGCTTCACTAAATTATTATTGTTCAAAAATTAACTATACTACGTGAATTCAAGCTGGTAATAATACAAATACAGCTGAAGCTGCGCATGCATATACAAATCGATCTGGAAAACAACTAAAGTTGCTTTCAGCAATTAACTGGTATTTAATTTAAATATATATATTTTAAATTATCAAGTAATTGTATTAAATAGCAATTGTAATATATAAATATATATTAATAAATTAATAATTTTAGCAGAAAAAAGTTAGATGAAGTAACAATCAATCGAATATAAATATATACTAAATTTGAAGTATCTATTACACGTCGTGATAATGAAAAAATTAAATGTAAATCAATTGCTATGACACGTAAAAGTAAATACATATTTTTTTGATTTCAATAAATTTAATTTATTAACTTATTAAATTATTAATAGGAAGCAAAAACAAGTCTTTGAATTCTAACAAGTTTCAATCAAAAAAAAAATATTAAAGAAACCGCAAAATATAATTACAATTCACTCAGATTCGGAAACAGAAATAACAATGAATAAAAAGTCTAAAATTGAAACAGAATCAAGTAACTTGTACACGCTGAAAATTGAAGAGCAGAAAATAAAACTTCAAGAATGAGCTATTGCAATTCATGAGAAGGAGGTTGAGTTGCGAAGAAATAGAAGCTTTAGAATTAGCTAATAAAAAAATGAAGAATGAATTGCACTATATTATTTAATGCGATTGTAATATTATTGTCACTATTCTCAGCAACAAAAATTCCAATTATTAAGCAACGGTAATAACATTTATTAGCTCAGAATATGTATGCAATATATAACCCACCATATATATATTTAATTTATATAAACTAGTTGAGAAAATATATAAAGGTTGCGAAATTTATTGATTATTAAAAAAATGCGCATTGTAGAATTTGCGAAATTTTATTGATTATTAAAATATATGTAATGTAGGGTTTGCGAAATTTGTATGTATGATTTATTTTATACAACTATACAATCAACCGCATACATTACATATATATTTGTTTATACAGTACATGTTTTTGTAATACCCCCTTGTAATGAGGACTAATTGTTTAAATTGTTGTGATCTAATAAACGAGATCAATTTTTTTATGTAAATTATATAGTTACATCATCTTAACTTAATTCATAGTGCTAAATTGGTCAAATTGCTTCTAAGAGCTGATTTTACAGAGTTAAAGCCCTTTGGCTTTCATTGAAACAGATATATAAAGATAAGCATATAATAGTTATATGCTTACACTATAAGAATTTTTATTAATATCTTGCAAATAATTAGATTTCTTTAAAATATGTTTGCAAATACAAAGCGCTCTGGACCCAACGGATCCCGTTTTCCTTGTATGATATAAAAAGTGTACTGTATGGATATATCAAAATACAATACGGAACTTCTACATCCTGGTGTAAAAACATGTACACTGTACGTACAACAGATGTGTGATTATATAAGGTCATTAGTTTTTTGGTGTTAAGCTAATATATATATTTTTGTCGCATGAGCTTAATGGGCGCAGTACTTCAGAACTAGAGCTTTGACCCGGGTAAGAAAATACTGACCCGGGCGGGTCAGTATTTGACCCGGGTTATAACCTGGGTCAACGGGTCAAACAGAAATTCATAAAGTTTTTAAGATAATCCTTAAAAGTTGATGTAACTAGTATAGAGAGCAATCACTGAGCAGCCTGTGCTCCAAATATTTAAATGGAAATTTTCAGATTTTGCATTAAAAATTTCTCGACCTTGCTCGTAATTTGAGTTCGTTCATTTTCTGCTCCAGGAAATACCAGATTACAACTGTTTTATAAATTCTGGAACACCTGGTAAAATGGCGGAAGTTTCTCAATATATCCGTATCTTTGAAAGTGCAATTTATAGAAGGCATACTAACACCAAGTGTTTCGTAGTTTTTCGAATTGATAAGCTTTCTATTTTTTTTTTTTTCAATTATTGTATTTCCAGCGAAGATGCTTTGAAGTATCATATTACTGTATTCAACCAGAGATATATAAAGCTAATTGGCTTCGTTTGCATTTTGCTGATATACATACTACGCATACTAAAGTCTTGTAATATTTACATTAATCACCGGATATTAAATTATATACAGTATATATCAATTTGAATCTATTATGCCGGAATTATAAACTTAATCGAATCAGACAGCTATAACAAGCCAATTTTCGACC